CCCATCAGATATTGATTGAGCCTCTTTAGCCAACCATGAGAGTGGGGGGCAACATTTGCTGGTGAGTGTATACCCGATAGGGGGAACAGCATTTTCTGTCTTCACAGGGTGATTTAGTTTGAAGATTTGGAAGAATCCCTCGGCGGATAAGAAGTAACTTTCAGACTTTGTTTGAACTACACACTCAGTTTTCACTTTTTATGTTCACTATTTGTTCACTTATATATTTATGCACTACTGGATCACTTTTTTTGAGTGTTTATTTATGTGTTTTGCTTGATATTTTAAGTAGCAGCACTGTGGTAGCTATTCATTTATGTGTGTATTTAAACATATTTGATTTCATTTTCACGCATTCAACACAGTTTTTACACTCTTTTTTATATGTAATAAATTTGGTCCCCAGTCACCCACTCTAGATTATTTTGTAAAGGGCCTACATGCTCAGACCTGACCTTTACTATTAATATATCTGAAGAATTTTTGGGGGCTTTGTCCTGCTATCTTTTGCAATCTGTCATTCATTTAAATTTTTGCGGCCTTTATTTCCTTTTTTCATATTCTATTATCTTATTTGTAATGTTTAAATGATGATAGCATTCCTTCATTTTTACGTTTTAATAAAAGCTCTTTTCTTATTATTTATAGCTTTTTTAACTTTGGCCGTAAGCCACTTAGGTTTGATTTTTAGCTTTTTAAACTTGTTGCCCATGGGAATATATTTTGCAGTGTGTTCACACACAGTCTTTTTGAAGAACTCCCATTTATGTGTTGTGTTCATTGATGCCAATATTCCCTCCCAATCTAAGTCTTGGAGAGCAGCTCTCAGCCTTGGAAAATTAGCTCTCTTAAAGTTGAGCTTTTCCCGTATGTGCTTGTTGCTTTCAGCTAACAATAAATGAAATCATGTTATGGTCACTGCTACCCAGATGTTCTTTTGTATAAACATTAGTAATAAGCTCTAAATAAAGTTTAAACATTTTGGATCTGCAGTAGGAGACCTTTTTAAAAGTATTATTCTTCTGTGAGTTCAGGGGAGCAGACTAGTAGTTACTGTGCATGGTGTGGTTCTTTTCAGCTCTGAACCCTTCCCATTCAATAATTTAAAGCTGAACTCTGAGAACAAAAACGTTTATGTTAATATATTCTTGAATAGCTACAAAAGGTCAAAATATATTTTCTGTGCATCAAAAGTCTATGACGTCCAGATAGTACTGCACAGATTATTTATTTATCGAGTTTATATAGCGCCAAAGGGTTTGCTCAGCACTGTACAATAGAGGGGGGGACAATACATGAAACAGTACAGTAACATCAAACAGCACACAAGGGGTAAGAGGGCCCTACTCATTCGAGCTTACAATCTAGGAGGGAGGGGGTAGAGGTACAGGAGGAAATGGCTGTGGGGGATGGAGTGGTAGGAGGAGGGAAGGGCAGCGGCTGTTAGGTGAGGGTGGGGTAGGCTTCCCTGAAGAGGTGGGTTTTCAGGGAGCGCCTGAAGGTGAGGAGGGACAGTGACAGTCTAATGGATTGGGGTAGTGAGTTCCAGAGGATGGGGGAGGACCTGGAGAAGTCTTGCAGTCGTGCGTGGGAGGAGGAGACCAGGGAGCAAGATAGAAGGAGGTCCTGTGAAGAGCGAAGGGTACGGGTAGGGTGGTACCTGGGAATCAGGTCGGTGAGGTAGTTAGGGGCAGTGTTGTGAGTGGCCTTATAGATCAGAGTGAGCAGTTTGAATTTAATGCGTTGGGCAATGGGGAGCCAGTGGAGGGAGAGGCAGAGGGGGGTGGCAGAGGTGGAGCGGCTGGTGAGGTGGATGAGTCTGGCAGCTGAGTTCAGGATGGTCTGAAGCGGGGAGAGTTTGCACTGGGGTAGGCCGGTGAGGAGGGAGTTGCAGTAGTCAAGGCGTGAGATAATTAGGGAGTGTACGACTAGTTTAGTGGTGTCTGGGGTAAGGAAGGAGCGTATCTTGGCAATGTTCCGGAGGTGGAGCCTGCATGTGTTTGTAAGTGATTTGACATGAGGTTGAAAGGAAAGGTTTGAGTCCAGAATGACGCCAAGGATCTTGGCTTGCTGGGCGGGATTGATGGTGGTGTTGTTGGTAGTGATGGAAAGGATGGGGGGGGCGCGGGAAGGGGGAAAGACGAGAAGCTCGGTTTTGGAGAGGTTGAGCTTGAGGAAATGGAGCGACATCCAGTCAGAGATGTCGTTTAGGAGGTGAGTGATGCGGGCGGAGAATGTGGGGGTGAGGTGAGGGGTGGATAGGTAGATTTGAGTATCATCAGCGTAGAGGTGGTAGTTGAAGCCGTGGGAGTGTATGAGTTTGCCAAGGGAGGAGGTGTAGATGGAGAAGAGAAGGGGTCCAAGGGACAGAGCCCTGGGGGACCCCAACAGAGAGGGGGAGGGAAGAGGAGGTGGCACCATTGTAGGAAACGCTGAGGGAGCGTTGGGATAGATAGGACGAGAACCAGGAGAGAGCGGTGTCTCTGATGCCAAGGGAGAGTAGTTTATTAAGGAGGAGGGGGTGGTCGACTGTGTCAAAGGCCGCGGAGAGGTCTAGGAGAAGGAGGACAGAGTAGTCGCCTTTGGCTTTGGCGGTTAGTAGATCGTTGGTGATTTTGAGGAGGGCAGTTTTGGTGGAGTGTAGGGGACGGAAGCCGGACTGTAGTGGGTCAAGGATCGTTGCTGTCAGTTAGGTGGGCGCTTAGGCGATCGTACACCAAGCGCTCAAGGAGCTTGGAAGTGAGTGGCAGCAGGGAAATTGGTCTGAGGTTGTTGAGGTCAGTGGGGTCCAGGGAGGGCTTTTTGAGTATGGGGGTGATGTGCGCATGTTTTAGGGGGAAGGGGAAGACGCCAGTAGAGAGGGAGAGATTGAAGATGTGGGTAAGGGAGCGGATGAGGGAAGAGGGGGGTGACCGGAGGAGTTGAGAGGGGATAGGGTCCAGGGGGCAGGTAGTGAGGTGGGCTTCTGAGAAGACTCTGGTGACTTCCTCAGTGGTAGTAGGGCTGAAGGAGTGCAGTGATGGGGGGGTTACGGTAGGCAGGGCCTTGGGTGTGGTGGGGGGCAGTGCCGTTGCGAGGTCAGAGGAGGGGAGAGATGAGGGGGTGATGGAAGGGGGGAGGCTAGATGGGGAGGTAGATTGCAAGTTGACTATGTCCTTGCGGATTGCGTCAATCTTGTTGTGGAGATGAGTGGCAATCTCGTGGGCGGTAAGTGAGGTACTGAGTGGAGGAGGGGGGGGGAGAGCAGGGAGTTGAAGGTGGAGAAGAGTCGGCGAGGGCAGGTGGAGAGGGTGTTGATCAGGTCAACGAAGTAGGCCTGCTTGGCGGCGTGGAGGGAGGAGGTGTAGGTGAGGAAGGCAGATTTGTAGAGGGAGAATGCATGAGGGGACCTGGTTTTGCGCCATAGTCTCTCCAGTGCACGACTGCGACGTTTGAGGCATTTAGTATGGTCGTTCTGCCATGGTTGGAGCGGTCTGGGTTTGATGTTGCGTGTGGTTAGGGGTGCCAGAGAGTCTAGGGTAGCTGATAGTGAGTCGTTGTACGCGGTGGTGGCTAGGTCAGGACATGACAGTGGAAGGATGCTGTCGTGTAAGCAGTCGGCAGCCGAGTGGAGGGGGGCCGGGTGCAGGTTGCAGAGGTTGCGGCTGGTGATGGTTTAGGAAGATTAGGAAGAAATACACAAATGACACAATGTGGTTGATTTACTAAAACGGGAGCGTGCAAAATCTGGTGCAGCTCTGCATAGAAACCAATCAGCTTCCAGGTTTTTTTGTCAAAACTTAATCGAACAAGCTGAAGTTAGAAGCTGTAGGCTACCATGCACCAGATTTTGCACTCTCCAGTTTTAATAAGTCAAAGCCTAAGATTCAAGTTCAGCTCTAAATTCTTCCCCATCAACATTTTAAAGCTGAAATCTGATAACATATGTTTCTAGCAAAATATATTTCTTAACAGCCATAAAGGACATACATTAATATTATTTTGTGTGGACCAAATGTCTAAGGAAAACTAGTTATTACCTTGAAAAAGTAGTGGTGACATCAACTTATGCTGCACAATGCTTGGGAAAAGAAGAAGATTGATTCTGGATTTACATTGTTAACATTTTATGGGATTTTTATTTAAGATTTTGTTCACTGTGCCTGTGTCTTTATTTACTTATGATATTTTTTAAAATAAGGAATATTGACTACTAATGTTCACTTTACTAATTCATCTGGGTGGATGGATATGTGGTGGCCCACTTATTCTAAAGGGGGCTTCCAGATTCCTATAAGTCCATCCAAAACCCCCATACATTTTCTTGGGGACCTGGGATGTGAGAAAGAGGCCCTTGTCCCTCAACATTTACACAATGTGCTTTTGCAAGGGGGAAGGGGGGGGGGCAGCTACATCACTGTCACTCTCCCTTTGTAAGGTCCCCCTACATTGTTAAAAGGCATGTTGCCTGATGTGGTTCAGGAGTAGGAGGCTGCATGTTCATTGCTCTCCCTTTCAGTGCAGCCCAGACAGGTGTGTATTTGGAGGTGTGCACTGCGGCCGGCCAGTTCTGGGTGGGACGTCATATGACGTCCCACCAGAACGCGCTCTCCTGCGCGCCCCAGGGGGCACGCACCCGGCGATCTCCGTGATTGCTGTGTCCTACGGACACAGCTGATCACGTGATGTGGTAAAAGGCCAATCACAGCGGCCTTTTACCACCTGATCAGCGGTGTCCAATGACACGCTGATCAGAGGGAAATGCAAGTGCCGGTTCTCGGCTGCACTTTCCTCACGCTGTCAGATCGTGAGGAAAGTACTGCCGAGAACCGGCAGTTGTCAGAGCGGGGATCGGCACCGATCATCTGATGATCAGTGCCCTGATGATCGGTGCCCAGCAGTGCCACCCGCAAGTTCCGCCCACCTGTGCCCAGCAGTGCGCCCACTAACTCCACCCACCTGTGCCCAGCAGATCACCCACCTGTGCCCAGCAGATCACCCACCTGTGCCCAGCAGTGCACCCACCTGTGCCACTCTGCAGTGTCACACACCTGTGCCCAGAAGTGCAAACTACCTGTGCCCACCTGTGCACACCCACCTGTGCCCACCCACCTGTACCCACCAGTGCCGCCCACCAGTGCCACCCACCAGTGCAGCCCAGCAGTGCTGCCAGTCAGTGCCGTCTATCAGTACCCATCATCAGTGTCACCTATCAGTGCCGCCTATCAGTGCTGCATATTAGTGCCGCCTATCCGTGACACCTCATTAGTGCTGTCTATCAGTGCCGCCTATCCGTGCCACCTCATTAGTACTGCCTATCAGTGCCCTTTAGTGCTGCCTATCAGTGCCCATCAGTGCCACCTATCAGTGCTCATCAGTGCTGCCTCATCAACGCACATCAGTGAAGGAGAAAAATTACCTGTTTGAAAAATTTTATAATAGAAACAAAAACTTTTTTTTTTTCAAATTTTTTGCAACTTTTTTATTTATAGCGCAAAAAGTAAAGCGCCCAGTGGCGATTAAATACCACCAAAAGAAAGCTCTATTTGTGAGGAAAAAATGATCAAAATTTCATATGGGTACAATGTTGCATCACCGCGCAATTGTCAATCAAAGTGCGGAAGTGCTGAAAGCTGAAAATTGGCCTGGTAAATAAGGGGGTATAAGTGCCTCGTAGGCAAGTGGTTAAAATTAAAAGGAAACATTGAGGCTCACCCCTACTCATAACTGTGGGGAGCTAATTTGTAAGCTATAATTTTGAGTGATAAGTCCTCATGCACACTTGATGTTTTTACAGCTGCTGTTTTTGACATTTGAAGTTTTTATCTACAGCCAGTAAACCCCCCAGCAAGTGACAATTTAAAAAAAAAAATTGGATTTTTTGGAAAAGGAAAATTATTACCGCTTTTCCGATTATGTTTGAGATGCTCTTGCTTCTACATGTCCTACATGTAACCAGATCATATCAAAGTTTATTTGCAGCTCTTTCGGCTTTGTTCTCTTTGTTTGGCTTTGTTGACATACTACATGCTTCTGCAGAGTCATTTCCCATTGCCATTTGCATTTCTATTGTCTCAGATTACAGCACTATGTGCAAAACAGGAAGTGACACAGTGCCCTCCTGCTGAGTCATTTCCATTGTCCTTTGCAGTCCTATTGTCTCAGATTACAGCACTGTGTGCAAAACAGGAAGTGACACAGTGTCCTTTGTTTGTAGAGGCTGGGTTCATCTCCATTTTGTTTTCAGTTCATGGACAGAGAAGGATGGCTACCGACGTCTCCCAGACTGAGCTCATATGTGCTGTACAAGCACATGAGGAATTATGGGATGTGTCAAAGGCCAACTGCATAACTGAGCTATATGTAGAGGCAAAGTGAACATGTGGCCACCTGCGTGTGGCTCCAGTATGCAGTTTGCATGGCCAAATGCCTAACTGAGTCACATGGAGATGCTAAGTGAACATGTGGACACTTGCGTGTAGCTCTGTTATACAGTTTGCATGGCCAAATGCATAACTGGGCCACATGCAGATGCTAAGTGAACATGTGGCCATTTTTCAGAGGCTAACTGCATAACTGAGCTATATGTAGACGCAAAGTGAACATGAGGCCACCTGCGTTTTGCTAAGGTATGCAGTTGTCATGGGCAACTGCATGTCTGAGCCACCTGCAGATACAAAGTTAACAATTTTCCTTTAGAGTTTGCTATCACAATTCACCCCTTGATATTTAAAAAAAAAAAATGTAGAGAGAGAAAGAAAAATGTCACAAAAGATAAGTTATAACATTTTTATTTAATGGAAACAGTACATCGGAAAGTCTGTTGCAAAAGTGCAAGCCAAAGAAATATCTAAATATGCTGATCCTACCATTACACTTCACCATCAGGTCATGACCCATCCACTTGCTCATAAGTCCAATGACTGTACACGCTGACTTGAATTTGCTGGTGTTGGATCTCCAGTGCTTGCCTCCATTCCCTAAGAAAATTGTGAAGAACACAGCATGCAAGTACCACTTTAATGGCATTCTCAACGTCCATCTGCATACATGAGAGAAGTACTCTCCACTTTGCTGTAAGGATGCCAAAGGAACATTCTACCACATACCTAGCATGGCTGAGACGATAATTAAATATTCTCTGATTGTGACTGAGTCCAAAACCACTGTATGGCCGCATTAAATTCTCAGCTAATCCAAAAGCCTCATCCGCAACAATTACCATTGGCAGACTTGGCTCCAGTGTGCTTGGTAGAGGCCTACTTCCAGGAATGTCGGGGCATCCTGCATGCAGGTGACGTCCCAAGAAAGACTATCTGAAGATGCGTACATCTTCTTGGCTACCATATGCACCAACATTCACACACATAAAGCATACATTTGCATGAGACAATGCCAGGAGAACTACAGAAAAGTATTTTTATAATTAAAATACAGAGAGCCAGAATGCAGAGGCTTTTTTACCCTCACGTGCTTCCCATCAAGGGCTCTGATGCAATTTGGGAACTGTGTCTTCTGCCAGAACTCATCCGCAATATTTTCCCACAACTCTGCAGTTGGCGCAGGCATCATGGCTCCATGAAGTTCCTCCCACAGTGCCAAATATGTTTCTCATACAATTGTAGACACGGTGGAGACACCCATCAGAAAATAATGGTGCAACAATACAAACGTTTGTCCAGTCACAAGAAACCTAGAATAAAATATAATAAAAAATGTATACCATAAAAACCTGGCTACTGGAACAAAACAAGTGCTACAGCAATCATATGTAAAATAAAATTTAATTGCCAAAAAAAAACAAAATAAGAGGACATGACATACCGAATTGTCACGAGGAGACGTTCCTCTGGTGAAATGCTCATTCTCATCCAGATGTCCATTCTTGTTAATCTGGGTTTCATGCTCCCCAGAAAGTCGTCAAAAGATGTGATGGACGTGCGTGTAAAATTATAAAACTTCTCTGGATAATCGCGCAGCCCAGCATACATGTTTGTAAAATATCGAGAAGATATTAGACGGGATATCAATGGATGGGTCCAGAATCGTCGTCTGTCTACTTCTCTCTTCCCACTGTCTGTCTCCTCACCATCCTTAACATAAGCAGTAGTGTAAGCTCATCAACTTTTGTAAAACAAGATCCATATATGGATCTAAAAAAGGCTATTACAGCTTCTCTGTATGCTCTTTTTCTCTCAAAATGGTGGCGATGATGCATTCTGGGAAAGTGGGAGGCAGCAAATAGCAAAGTGAGATATTTCAACTGAAAAATGCTACAAAAACGTGGAAAAATGTGAAAAAACATGGATAAATGCTATGCAAAAATGCTGGAAAATGCTGAAAAAACTAGTGATTTTAATGCTGCTGTTATCGGCATTGTGAGGGAAACGTCAAGTGTGCATGAGGACAAAAGCATGTTTAAATTCCATTACTGTTGCATGACTTACTACTGCTGAAAGTCTATTTAAAGCCTCAACTAATCTTTCAGTAAAACAATCATTGCTAATGGATCCTCTTTCAGATGAGATTGGCTGAATTTTGATCCATCTATGGCTGTTCCCACTAGAGAGAAGTCGATCTAACGATCTGCTTCTCTAAAATGGGAATGTTGGAAATGTTTTATTTGTTTAGTGTATGCAGCTGATTGGCTGCACCTCTGATCAGTGTATTTTGATAGCACAGGAGTCCTGTTGTCCGAATGCAATAGTGCAACAGAAAGGATTCCTTCATCCACATTTTATGTGTGGATGGGGGAATCCATTTCTATCTTTTTTTTGATCAGCCAGCTGGCTGATCAAAATAAATGATCCATCTATGGCCAGCTTAAGGTTACTTTTGAATTTCCTCCTGCTAATTTAAGCCATGTCCCCTACATTCTTGATATTAGCTTCATATTGAAAATACTGTCTTCCAAAACTTCTTTCACATGCTTAATGTTTTTAAAATTTAATCATGTCCTCTCTTTTCATTTTTTCCTCATGAGTGTACATATTAGGCAGGGGCGGACTGACCATTCGAGCATTCGGGCACTGCTCGAGGGCCCGAGGTCAGTAGGGGGCCCCATGTGATGCCCCTGGTACCTTCCATTGGCTTTTTCATAGGCTTTTTTGGGTGTGGGCGAGAACACAGGGGCCCCATGATCCCCTATTGCCCGGGGGCCCCATGAGTTGTCAATCCGCCCCTGATATTATATTTCTGCTTTCTGTCCAGATACTCTCCTAATATGTTTTATCCCTCGGACTTCTAGGCTCAGTTCACACTACTGTGACCTGAAAGTCATGCAACTTATAGTGTGACTTCGCCAGGTGACTTCCTGGCGATTTGCTGGCAACTTCATACATGACTTTGTCAAGTGACGTTGCTATTTTTTTTTCTTTGACCCATTAGAAAATACCATTTTTTTAATACATTGTTTCATTTATTGAATTTCTATCCTTATTTTCAGAACAAATAGAATTCAAATCAGTCAAAAATGTATCAACTGGTCCGAATTCTGTGTAAAGAACAGCTGGTTGCTAAGGAGCGGGCTGAGAAGCCGACCACCACATCTTTAACAACCTATGACTCATCAGCTGTCAGCAGGTTTCCCGCTCACAGCTAAATGTAAATAAAAGAAAGCTGGCAATTAAAAAAAAAAAAAAAAAAAAAAACCTCTGGGATCCTCCCTATCCAAGGACCCTTCTGGTCTGATATGGATTCTAAGAGGAACCCCATGCCAAAATGTAAAAAAAAAAAAAAAAAAGTTTGGTTCCCCCCCAAAGTTCATACCAGACCCTTATGCGAGCCCTTTCCTGGCAGGTTAGGAATGGGGGGCAAGCAAGTGCCCTCCCTTCTGTACCATACCAGGTCACATGCCCTCAAAATGGACAGTGCTTTGGGGTAGGGGGCTACCCCCCCCCAAAGCACCTTGTACCCATGTTGATGGGGACAAGGGCCACTTCCTCACAACCCTGGGCTGTGGTTGTAGGGGTCTGCAGGGGGTTACTTATCAGAATCTGGAAGCCACCTTTAACAAGGGGGCCCCCAGATCCCACCCCCATGTGAATAAGTAGAGGGTAAATAGTACCCCCTACTCATTCACCAAAAAAGTGTAAAAAAGTAAATAAAAAACA